CCCGCCATCCTTGTCGAAAACCAATGCGGATCATTGTGTCTGGTGGGCCTGCGCACAGCGATGATAACAATGACATGGTGTTTTATGGTATGCTATACTATTGTATGTTATGGTGCGACATGTTACGTTAGTTTAGGTTATGTCATGCTCTGGTATGCTATGATGTGGTGATGCTGATGGTGAAGGTGATTATGCTGACGATGATGATGCTGATGATGATGAGGATTGATGATGATGATGATGATGATGATGATGATGATGATGATGATGATGATGATGATGATGATGATGATGATGATGATGATGATGATGATGATGATGATGATGATGATGATGATGATGATGATGATGATGATGATGATGATGATGATGATGATGATGATGATGATGATGATGATCGTGGTGGTGGTGATGATGCTGCTGATGATGATGATTATGATGATGAAAATGATGATGATGATGATGATGCTGATGATGACGATGATGATGATGATGCTGATGCTGATGCTGATGCTGATGCTGATGCTGATGATGATGATGATGCTGATGCTGAACATGATGATGATGATGATGATGATGATGATGATGATGATGATGATGATGATGATGATGATGATGATAATGCTGCTGCTGCTGCTGATGATGATGATGATGATGATGATGATGATGATGATGATGATGATGATGATGATGATGATGATGGAGCAAATTCGGAGGATCTCTAGAGCGATGCGCGGGTTTCAGCACTCTCAAGGGAAACCACCAGGGGTATTGCACAGCTTCCGTTCGCGCCAAATGGCGGGGATATCTCGAGCGGTTTGCCTGTTTGCATGCCCAACATCTTCCGCTTTCAGAGCAGCTTTGGAGGATGTCTCGAGCGAGGCGCTCATGTTCGCCTCCCCTGGGGGCCAGAAGTTGAGGATGTCGCGAGCGGTTTGCCTGTTTTGGTCGCCAGACTCGTGGGCACAGGCTCCAGCAGGCTCCAAGAGGCCACAGGAAGACTCAAGAGGCCGCAGGATGTCCCAAGAGGCTCCAGGATGCCCGCATCAAGAGGCGCCAGGATGCCACAGGAGGCCTCTGGAGGCCACAGGAGGCCCTGGGAGGCCACAGGAAGCGCCAGGAGGCCCCAGGAGGCTCCAAGATGGTCCAGGAGTCTCCAGGAGGCTGTAGGATGCCACAGGAGGCCACCAGATGCCACAGAAGACCACAGGATGCCACAGGAAGCGCCAAGAGGCCACGGAAGGCCCCAGGAGGCCCCAGGAGTCCCCAGGAGCAGGCCTCAGAACGCCACATGTGTGGTGCCAATCCCATGTGTTTTACGTATGTTCTTATAGATTTGGCCTCACCAAAAGCACGACTCCTTGATGTTCAACGTATGTTTCTATATAGTGTCCTTCTCCTGTGTCCAATCCTTAACGTTTTACGTGTCTTCCTGTATATTGGGTCTCCCTTAGGCACGGGTCCTTCGTGCTTTACGTGTGTTCCTATAGATTGCCCTTTTCCTTTAGCTCCAATCCGCAATGTTTTATGCACGTTTGTTGGTATAGGTCGGACCTCTGCTGGGGCACGAGTCCTCAATGATTTACGTGCGTTCTTATACATTACCCTTTTCCTGCGGCTCCAATCCGCAATGTTATATGTACGCCTCTTCCTATAGATTGGGCCTCTCTCGGGGCACGAATCCTCCCCAGGACGGCCCAGGAGGCTCCAGGAGGCGTCAGGAGGCCAAACGAAGCCCCAGGAGGCCTCAGGATGCCACAGGAAGCCCCAAGAGGCCCCAGGAGGCTCCAGGAGGCCCCTGGAGGCCCCATGAGTTTTCAGGAGGCCCCAGGAAGCCCCAGGAGGCCCCAGGCTCATACGCAGAGACGCGCTCGTACTACTGAGACTCATTCACACTCGAATTCATTCGCATTTCGATTCATTCCTAGACCGTCAATATCCAAGCCCGTTTGTATTCGAAAACTCTTGCGCCTAGACTCTCACGGCGGACAGGTCCATGCGAGTAGATACACATATGGGAAGCTCCACGCAGTGAGTAATTTGACAGGGATGGTGGGGGGCGGGCCCTCATGGTGTCGCCATGGTTCCTGGTTGGACGCTGGCCGGGTGGGGGAGGGGGTGTATTGTAATAAGGAACCGTGATGAACCCCTCCCCGAAGGGGAAGAAGGGGGTTGGAAGAGGCAACTCCCTCAACCACGCACGCCCTAAAGGACTGGTGGGATTCGGAGGATGCCTCGAGCGAAGCGCGGGTTTCAGCACCCCTTCGGGGGAGCCGCCACGGGGTATTGCATTTTGTTGTTCGCGTCCCAGTGGCGGGGATGTCTCGAGCAGTTTGCCTGTTGACCAGCTCAACATCCTCCGCTTTCGGAGCAGAGTTGGAGGATCTCTCGAGCGAGGCGCGGATTTCAGCACCCCCAAGGGGGAACTTCGCGCCACAATGGCGGGGATGTCTCGAGCGGTTTGCCTGTTCACCAGCTCAACACCTTCCGCTTTCGGAGCAGTTTTGGAGGAAGGATCTCTCGAGCGAGGCATTCATTTTCGCCCCCAAAGCGGGGCCAGAAGTTGAGGATGTCGCGAGCGGTTTGCCTATTTTGCTGGCCAGACTCGTGGGCACGGATGCTCTTCAGGATGCCACAGGAGGTTCCAGCAGTCTCTAGGAAGATACAAGAGGCCACAGGCTGTACCAGGAGGCATCAGGAGGCCACAGGAAACCACAGGAAGCTCCAGGAGGCCCCAGGACGCTCCCAAATGGTTTCCCAAATGGTCCAGGAGGCTCCAGGAGGCTTCAGGATGCCACAGGAGGCCACCGGAGGCCACAGAAGGCCACAGAAGGCCACAGGAAGCACCAAGAGGCACCAGGAGGCCCTAGAAGGCACCAGGAGGCCCCAAGAGTCCCCAGGAGCAGGAGGCTTCAGATGGCCACAGCAGTGGCTCCAAGCCCATGTGTTGTACGTATGCTCTTATAGATTGTGCCTCCTTGGACCACGAATCCTGTTATTATACGTCTGTTACACGTGTGTTTCTGTAGATTTGGCCTCCCCTGAGGCACGAGTCCTCAATGATTTACGTGGGTTCCTATAGACTTCCCGTTTCCTGTGGCTCCAATCCGCAATGTTTTATGTACGCCTGTTCCTGTATTTTGGGCCTCTCTTGGGGCACGAATCCTCTCCAGGACGCCCCAGGAGGCTCCAGGAGGCGTCAGGAGGCCCCAAGAGGCCACACGAGGCCCCAGGAGGCTTCAGGATGCAACTGCAACAGGAAGCCCTAAGGGGCCCCAGGAGGCGCCAAGAGGCTCCAGCAGGCCCCAGGAGATCCCAGGAGTTTTCAGGAGGCCCCAGGAGGTCCCACGCGCATGCGCAGAGACGCGCTCGTATTACTGAGACTCATTCACACTCCAATTCATTCACATGTAGATTCGCTCTCAGTCAGTAAATATTTAAACCCGTGACTATTCGAAAACTTTTGCGCCTAGACACTCACGGCGGACAGGTCCATGCTAATATATGCACAGATGGGGAGCTCCATGCAGTGAATCATTTCAGGTGCGGGGAAAGAGAAGCCGCGCCAGCCTGGTATGTCTACAGCCCGCGCTGTAGTTTGTGATCGGCCATCGTCTGCTTCTCAGGCGGGAGTCGAAGGCCTAGGTCCGATCGGGCGAGCACCGCTGCACCCCCCCGACGGGACAGTCCCAGTGCTGTAGCGCGCACGGGATGCTGAGACACGCTGCGAACTTCCACCCCACGATTGCTGGCTGAGCTGCGTAGCGATTCCAAGCCCGTCTTCTGAATCGGAACGATGTATGCAGAAGTTCTCTGCGCCGTATTCTTGAGCGTAGATCTGCCGCCGCTGGCGTTCAAGGACGCGATGGCGCACGTGCCCTGAGCTGTCGGGGCTGGTGGCACACGGGCTTCGCCGTGCTGCGAGCGAATGCTTGATCGCAGAAGGCCGTCGCCCTCGCCTTCGTTTCTTACCTCAGGTCTCGTACCGAGCTCCTCGAAGCTGGCAATCCTGCCGAACTTGTGCAGGGCTTGTGGTTCATGACGTTCCACGTCATCGAATTCTCGCCGGTTGCCCTGATCGCCTGAACTGGCACCGCCCCCTGTACCCCGACCAGGATAGCGAGGGGCAGCGTCCTCATCCTTCGGGGCTTTGCGCGCGTCGCGTGGTCCTGACGGAACAGGGGTCTTCGCCGACAGGTGCTCTCGCAGCTTCGACCATGCCAGTTTGCCGATGAAGCTCGTAAGCTCTATGCCGCCGAGTTCGTCGCCTCTGACATTGAGGGACTCGGATGAAGCAGCAGGTGAGGTTTTGCCATCGTCAGCACTGCCCAGTGTCTTGTCATGCTGTCGACCTACGCCTGCAGGGAAGCCGTCTCTACCTTGATATCGAGATGGATTGTCCTGTCTGCAGCTTCTTGATTTGCCTTCCCTTTTGAGCAATATCCTTGGCCGAGCGCTCGCCTGGCCCCATGACCTTGTGGAGCTGCTGCGTGGTTCGGCGGCATGCCGCGGCGGGGGGCCGCGGCTCCTTCTGTCTTTCCGGGCAAGGACTTGAACCAGGCCTGCGCAGTATGTTTGGCTCGTCTGTTGTCTTCTGTGTGATCTTCTTTGCATTATGTTTAATTGTGTTTGTTTGTATTGTTCTTCTTTGCCGTTCTTGTTTCGGCTCAGTTGACGCTGCTGGACCAGGCCTGGCAAGCTCGGGCCAGGGCGGCGGAGCGTGCTTGTCCGATGTGGACTTCCACCCCGCAGCAGCTTCTCGGTCTCGGCGAGCCGCTGGGCGGGGTCGGACCGGCCCCCGGGCAGACGTTGCGAGCTGCGGACGACAGGAGGGAGAGGACAGGAGCTATTGGGCAAAGAGGAGACGGACCAAGGACGGAGGAGGGAGAAATTGAGAAGGCGGGGGAGGACAAGGCGGAGTAGGAAGGAGTGGAGGAGGATGAGGAGGAAAAGGAAGAGTGGAGAGAGATGAATCAGGAAGAGAGGCAGGGAACCACCACCAGGAGGAGTCCGTAGTGGTCCTGGGCCGCGTCCTGCTGCTGCTGGCCTTCCTCGGCCTGTGCGTTGCTTACTGGCTGGTGGCCCCCGCCGCCGCCGTCGGCGCCGTCGATCAACATCGATCGACTTCTTGGCGTCGTCGTCGTCGTCGTCGTCGTCGCCATCGTCATCGTATTCGCCGTCGTTATCGTCGTCTTCGCCGTGGTCGTGGTCATCGTCGTGGTCCTCGCCATCGTTGCCCTTGGCGTCGCCGTCGCCATCGTTGGTGTCGTCGTCGTCGTCGTTGTCGTCGTCGACGTCATCGTGATCGTCGTCTTCGTCGGTCCTCGCTGTCGTCGTAGCCGTCGTCGTCATCGTCGATGGACATTGATCGTGATCGTCATCGTCGTTGCCGTCGTCGCCGCCTTCGTCGTCGTCGTTGTCCTCGGTCGCCGTGGCCGTCGCTGTCGCTGGCTAGAAGCCCGGAGGCTCGAAGGTCGAGGTGGAGGGTTTCTCCGAAGGGCTTAGGCGACCGGTCCTCCTCCTCCTCCTTCTCCTCCTCCTCCTCCTCCTCCTCCTCCTCCTCCTCCTCCCCCTCCTCCTCCTCCTCCTCCTCCTCCTCCTCCTCCTCCTCCTCCTCTTCATCCTCCTTCTCCTCCATCTCCTTCTCCCCCTCTCCTTCCTCGTCCTCCTCCTCCCTCCTCCTCCTCCTTCTCCTGCTGCTTCTCCTCTTCTATTTCCATCTCCGGCACAGACTACGGACACCCACGACAAGAAGGAACCAACTCCTAGTAGGATCGACACGCCTGAGGCTGAAAAGGACACCATTGAGTACGACCGTGCTCCTGAGAAGATCACTGTTGAGCACGATGAGGTTCCTGAAGGTGCGTCTTCGCCAGCACCGACGGTCGATTACGGTTTTCACAAGACAGATGATGAAGGGAAGCCATCTCCTGAGAAAGTTGCACCTATCTCGAAGAAGCACGACCTCAGTCACGACGACGGCATCGAGATCACTGGGCATATATTGCCACCGTCACAGCCTCCTGGGAGCAAGAAGGTTCGACTTCGATCATCACCAGCTCCTCCTGACACAGGCCCACGATCACCTCCAGTCAAAGGCGACGTGAGTGGAGGACATTTTGCCCCATCATCACCACCGCAGTTGACTGAGACGAAGAGGCCCAATATACTGGAAGGTTTCGTGGCATTCGGTGACCAGCAGATCGGCATGGTTCACGTTCAGGACAGGCACTTGATCAACGCTTGTATGGCTACAGGGGAGTTGGACGAGCATCAGCACATCATAATGAACATGGCCCAGGAAGTTTCGGAAACCTTACGACGAATCTAAACATGATTACATCCTGAACATCATCAGAAGCCCATTGGGTCATGTCAGGCCCGTTTGAAGAAGATCGTACGTTCTACTTTCACTGGGACAAGGTCGAGGCAGTTGACAGGGTCGAAGCTAGATCATTTATCGACAACCAGTATTTTTGGGCGACTCACCAGAACAGCCTGGACACCAACAGTATTATCGACGCTACATGGGTCAGACGCCGGAAGAAGGTCTACGGGGGCAAGAGCGAACTCTCTTGGTTCATGAAGTCTCGCCTCTGTGGCAGGGGCTTTCTTGATGCACAGAAGAACCACGTGATGAGACATTTTTCGACGGACTCCCGGCTCTCTCAGAGAATTATCGCTTCATTGTTCTCATTGGAAAATGACCTGGCCCTGGAGACCTGGTATATCTCGACGGCGTCCCTGCAGGACCTATCCTAGGGCATCGAAGTCAGAGAGCAGCGGGAAGTCTATCTCAAGCCGCCGGCGAACGTCTGGGGCCATTTCAGGGACTATCCCCAGTCGAACATCATAACTCCAGAGCTTGAGGTGCCATTCTTCCTGTCGCAGCTCTTGAAGTCCATCTACGGCACTGCTGGGCGCTCCACTCCTATGGCAGTTGGCATTATCATTGTTCGTGATGGAAGATGTTTCTGGCATCCAATCGGTATTCGGCGATGACTTCTTCATGGGGATCCAGGAAGGCAACGTCATGATGGTTTTGACTTTGCACGTGGACGACGTCATCGTTCTTGCGAGAATTGCTTAGCTATGCTGGAGCTTGGCTGAGATGGAGAAACGTTTTGGAAAGATCAAACGTCATCAGCTACCATTCGCTCGCGCGAGTATGACCTACGAGCAGTTAAGGCCCAGGCACTTGTTCATCCACCAAGAGCTTCGCGGACGCATTGAACGGGATCTTCATTGAGCCGGCGCTAAAGGACAAGACGGAGACGGAGTGCAACCACAAGCAGCAGCATGACTTGAGAAGCGCGCTTTGTAGTTTGTTGTGGCTATGTCAGGCGCGCGAGGACATCTACTATGAGGTAGTGCAGTTACGTCAGCAGGTGCATAAGGCCAACATCGGTCATCTCAAGCAGGCGAACCTCCTGACCGATCGAGCTCAGCGGAACAAGAAGATGACAGGACTCCAATTTGCACCGCTCAGCTATCCAGCGCGATTGGTTTCAGTTGGCGGTGTGCAAGCCATGGAGGTGCCAAGACATCTTATCCTCAAGAGGGCGCGGCAGCGTGCTTTATGGAAGGTCACACGCGCGAGCCTCGATTCAAGAAGGACCAGGTTCATCCAGATGACGCTCGCATGACAGCTGTCATTCGTTGTCTCTGGCCTCGGGTAAGGCAATGCGCATATCGCGCTCGACGTGTTATGCAGAGACGAACGCGGGCTACAAGGTCAGTCAGGATGCTCGCAGAGATCACGTCATGTACGGACGTTCAGCACAAGGCAGCGGACATGATGGAGATATTCGATCGAGGCTTGTATCAGATCGGAGATGTTCATCGCGCGGGTTCTATGGACTTCGGGCAGCTGTGCTGTTGAGTCGAAGGCGTGCCGAGTGACGGGGGGTCCTGACTGGCAGTGTTCTCGATGCGTGAGGAACGATTGTCAGGGCGCATCCGGCGCGTTCTTTGTCTCCTCACGGAAGTTATGCTGGTCGACGGGCTTGCTAAGTGCGGCGTCTGCAAGTCACCCGCGACACGTGCGACGACTGGAGTATGGAAGATTGCAGTTCCCAAGAACAAGTGCGTTGCCACTCGGGCCATCATCGAGCCCCAGACCAGCTTCGACGAGACAGACCAATCGGACTTGAAGAACTAGCCATTGATGATCTACTATATTTCGTCTCGGCATATGCTGGAGTGCTACACCGTGGTCGGGTCTTCGACCAGAACGCGTGTGTCGGCCTGATCTACGCGATGGTATGCCGCGCGAAGGCTTGATCCTTCCGTTCGCCTCTTTCCTTAGACCAGGGTGATATCTGTTCTAGTCGCTTAGAGGCTGCGTGTTTGAGCATTCGAGTGAATTTGTTGTCCCAGCGTTTATCGAGCTTGTAATCACCCTCGGTTTGAAGAGTTTAAAGTTGTTGATCTTCAATTCGGGACACTGGGGCCGGAGCTAGAATTTCAAGTATCTCGGCTTGGTTTCAGAGCTCTAGAAGATCGGTGTTGAGCTTCGCAAACAGACAGGCATGTATGATACCCGTATTCGCATCGGGGCTCAGGGAGAAACATCTCCATGATCTCCGCTCCCTCCCCCCCCCCCCCCCTCCCCCCGCCTGACTTGGTTTCGGCGGAACGGCTCGCATAGCATGCGGCTCACATAGCGCAAAAATCAGGGCGGCCCCCCTCTCTCGCCGCCGTGGCTACCTTCGCCGGCAAAGTCGAGAAGATTCGCGCGAAACGCGACCAACGTAGCACGAATCAGCTTCGACCAACAACGTTCTCGATCCAAAACATGAAAAACAATTTGAGATGCCAGCTATGTGGGGCCTGAGTATCGTGAGCGCGTGAGTATCGTGTAATTGTTGGAGAGCGAAAGATGGGGTCTGCGACAGGGGGTCTTCAATGGGGGCTGAATAGCCCATGTATGCTCAATATATCGCTTATGTATGTGATCGGGTACGATTGGCATCCACTGTTGGCGGTCATGGAGGGCCAGTTGTTCGTGCCCGCGCGTTGCCCACGCGGGCAAACGCGCCGTCCATCCATAATCGTTCATGCGTTCGGGCGTTCTTGCATATTGCGCCTGGGGCGGCGAAGTGGATTGCAAGTGTGTCTTGATTGTGCGATTGATGATCGCGTATGTTCCTAAGCGATGACTTGTCGACCCCCAAATTTTGAATGGGTCCACCGATTCTCCCAAACATAGAATTCACGTTTGCTTTGTTTCCACAATGTGAATTCACATTTTCTTTTTTCCCAACCATCCTGTGGTGTTGGGTCCTCGTTTTGAAGAGACAGCGCCCCGCGTCCACTCCTCCTCCCGCTGCCCCCTTCCTCCTCTTCATCCCTGCGTTTCACCCACCGCTTCGTGGCCCCATAGGGAGCTCCACCGAAGGCCCCACTGGCAGGGTTCGCATGGCGGCCTCGGGCCATTTCGGCACACCCCTCACGAAGATCGTGGCCCCATAGGGAGCTCCACCGAAGGCTCCAGTGGCAGGGTTCGCATGGCGGCCTCGGGCCATTTCGGCACACCCCTCACGAGGATCGTGGCCCCATAGGGAGCTCCACCGAAGGCTGCAGTGGCAGGGTTCGCATGGCGGCCTCGGGCCATTTCGGCACACCCCTCACGAGGATCGTGGCCCCATAGGGAGCTCCACCGAAGGCGCCAGTGGCAGGGTTCGCATGGCGGCCTCGGGCCATTTCGGCACACCCCTCACGAGGATCGTGGCCCCATAGGGAGCTCCACCGAAGGCCCCATGGCAGGTTCGCATGGCGGCCTCGGGCCATTTCGGCACACCCCTCACGAGGATCGTGGCCCCATAGGGAGCTCCACCGAAGGCCCCAGAGGCAGGGTTCGCATGGCGGCCTCGGGCCATTTCGGTACACCCCTCACGAGGATCGTGGCCCCATAGGGAGCTCCACTGAAGGCGCCAGTGGCAGGGTTCGCATGGCGGCCTCGGGCCATTTCGGCACACCCCTCACGAGGATCGTGGCCCCATAGGGAGCTCCACCGAAGGCGCCAGTGGCAGGGTTCGCATGGCGGCCTCGGGCCATTTCGGCACACCCCTCACGA